CCTTACATTCATTCTTTGAATACCGCTAAATAGTTCGTCACTATTGCTGTTTACTAATAATTTGACATAACGGCAGATGGAAACTTAATCCTTAATTTGCAAAATTAATTTCAAATCTGTGCACAGAAAAATTAAACAGAATTGTTTGTGATTGTTTTTTGTCTATGCAATTAATTAATCAAAAGCAAAATGTAAACGCAATTAATACCATAAATGTAATCGTCATCGTTAACTGGCACCTCCAAATAAGCCAAGCCACGATTATAAAGTTTTTTGCACCAGCTTTGCATCAAGAGTACCAACCAGTTGAGCACCTTCATCGATAAGCATATCTAACAAATCTTTCTCATCCCTGTTCAGCAACTGCAATACCTTCATTTAGTTTTCACCAAATGAAATCCCCAAGTTTTTAAAAACGCAAACTGCTATCAGTTAAAGAGCGCCATTACAACAGATCAGTTGCACAATGAATGTTGTCATTGTAGAGCGAAGCAACTCTTGGGAAATAACGGAACATGAAAACTTAAACGTCTGCGTGAAATAATTTTATACGGAGAAAACAAAAACTGATTTGCTTAATTAAGAAAAGAAAAAAGAAATTGAATTCCTGAATTATTGGAAGAATTTGCACACAAAATTTCCAAGCATATCAATCTATATGATTCAATTAAAAACAAGAACCTTAACATCACTTTCCAGAATGCTGCCCGGTGCGACCAACCACCAAGGATCAATATTAATTGCAACAGGTTTTACTGGTAATAGTTCCCGCAGTGATTTACTTTTTCGAAATATTTTTCGATTACAACGGTTTTGATTCATTAACTCAATGTACTGATTTCTGCCAATCCCCAACAGTCTCATCGCATCGGCAGCCGTAAAATTTGGCAACGAATCATAACTTTTCTCGGCATTCATAAGATTCTAAAAGCTGTTTTCTCCCTTACCAGCAATATTTCGAAATTTTACAAACTAAAGTTGGGTGTCTGAAATGAAAAAGAAACAAATCGACATCTGCAGGAATCCACAACACCATAACCAGAGTGCTACGAAGTACGTTGATCAAAAATTAACAATGTTTGCTAATCCACAAAAATTTAAGGTGACAAAAGTGGGAAAATATATATGCAAATCTTTTCAAAAGTATTACCGTCATGATGTTGATGTAATAACTAAATGGCGTCATTCGAAGTTCACGCACAACGATATTCGACAGATGGTACGGATAAAGCATAAGATGAGTTTCGCTGTATTTCAGAAGAATATCATAGTAAGTCTCCTCACTTTTCTTTACGTATTTCACTAAAATATATACACGAGAACAGGTTAACCAAATTAAAGAGAACCATCCTTCCATCCTAACAATGATAAACAGCTGAATTGGTGGAACTGTTTTATGAACTGAACAGAATAGCAACTATACGGAGGGACCTGAGTAAGTTAGCAACTCCAATAATTATGAAGTCTGAAATATAAGACCTAGAAATCTCTAAAATCGAGGAAGGTCGTTGATTAATCTTATAACAGAAAAGGAACACACCTATGTTACCCTTATACCTCAACTGATTTTTGATTGAATATTCGAGTACGAGTTTATCATATTCTCTCTGTGAGTTGCCCAAAACAATTCGAATTTCTTGCGGCAATTTCGACCAAACAGTATTCTGCCTAATGTACTGATCCACATCCTTATCCGTCATGCAGTCTATAAAACTTAGCATATGTTCTGTATCCATCGTCAAATCTCTTCAAGATAGGCAAGGCGAGTTGAAAATCCAACAAGTTCAATCCAGTTTCGCCCAAGTTAAACCACGCCGTAATGAATTCGCTACTTTCCAAGTTAGTCTAATTCGCACATAAAACCTGTCCAATATAACAGTCTCAAGCAATAAAATCATAAAAATATGCGAAATGTTTTATTTCCAGCAATAACTTTACATCAAAACTTATTTTCCAACAAAACTTGTTGAATCAAAATGCAATGAATAAATAGATATGCTATTTATATGATTTAAAATAAATTCTGGAGATTATTCTTTTTCTCAGTGATTAGTAAATCACAATAAAATGAAGATGCTGCCAAAAATTAACACAGAAGGGACTGATAAAAGAAATATCCAATAACTGGCACCTAATTATTCTATATAATCACAGTTTAAAGAAAAGCATTTCTGGAGAACATCAGGAAACATGAAATCGTGAGGAATAGCTCCAGATTCAACTGTTATTCAGGTACTCAATTTTTCAAAAGTAATAACCGGTTCAAAACTGTGCGTTCGACGACAGTGCACAACAAAACGATCTTTTCGCCAAAATTTAGCTCTGCAGAACTCTTCCGGACATTCAAATGGTTTCACTTTCAAATGCTCTCTAAATATATGCGCATCCATATTTTTCTTATCTGCATATGTCGTTCCACATTTTTTGCATGTGTACGGTTTTTCGCCTATAAATTAATTAAATTCCAAAGAAAACAAATATTTTACCTACTTGCATTATTTTTGTCCATTTGCATAAGTAGGATTTATTGAAACGGTTGTTGCTATGAAATCAAATAGCTCTTAATCCAGTATCGAGATTGAAAAATCCTCTTTGACCAGTGAGGAGAAATCAAAATGTATTTCACATGGAGCAAAAACCAATAACCAGTTTTACAAAATACAGAAAACCTGTATGGGCTCGAATATGCCTGACAAGATTGCTCTGCACTTTAAAAGCTTGATTGCAATATTGACATTTGTAAGGAGTTTCCAAGGTATGTATACATCTGACATGTTTTTCAACCGCACTCTTCTCCTTTGTACGATGATTACAGAATGGACACTTGAAGGGTTTTTCCATCATTATCTGAAACTAACTAAATTTTAACAGTTTGAACAAATGACGAAGTCATGTGAGAATTTCGCCACAGCAAAAATTATAAATGAAAAATGAAGTATTGCAAATAAATGCATGAAGACAATATCGGGAATACAATCGTCTCAACCATTTTAATTCATTATAATTTATAAAGGACATAAAGAAAAGAATAAAAAGGATAAGCAAAAACCTCTTGGTCGCCAACTAATAAAGGCACAGTCACATCTTTGGGTGCAACAATTTCAGGTAAACCATAACCAAAACTGTCCAGCAAATGACACTTTTTGGCGGGTGGAATGTACGACACCGTCACTGCAGAGACTGTTTCAAAATCATCATTCTGTATAGCATCATAACTGGTTGATGCTTCCTCCACATCTAAACTCAAGCTTGCTCGTTAATATCTACTTTCGATAATAACATGAATTTGCTCTCAGAAATTTTTTCCAAATAGGCGAGTCGACTAACAGTAATTGATAAATTGTACCATTGCACGACAATATACCCTTTCATAGCTTAAGCAACAGATTCTACACATATATTGACATGTCTTATGCTAGAAATAAACTTACGAGAGAGCTTATTTTTTTTCAGTTGCAACATCAATCGCTTATGTCCATATGTACCACCCTTGCGACCACGTCTTGGTCCAGCAACAAATTTTTCATAAATATACATGTAATCATTTGCTGCCTTCGCAACGACCATCCCACTTTGTTTTATGTCATCTTCTGCCATCTGTATTTCATCTAAACAAATAGCTAAATTTATTTGACACCGATGAGGTTAACCTATTTTATAATTTCCAGTACTACTCTCAAACAGCGTTTCTAGGCCTTAAGCTGAAAGTACAGTAGAGAAATTTTGAACTTGAATATTACAAAGTAGAATCCTAGTAGTGTCGAAGTTCGTTTTTTAACCATTTTCATTAATAGATTTCTCAAAAACTCTCTAAATCACCCATAATACAGTTATACACAAAAGTACAAAGAGAACACTCCTCCCAAATGTTATCTTAAAAATAGAACACTTAAAACGATTTGTATAGATTTCAATTCATTTATACCTTTGTCTATAAAATTAGAAGCTTCTTCCATAAGATCTTCAGCACTGGTTTCTGCCAGATTATTGTCATCATTTTCATCTTCAAAGATTGAACCGTTTACAGTAGAAATATTGGACTCGCCATTCCCAATCAAATTTCTATTATCTATGAAATCCGAAAACTCGCAAACTGTGTTTGTCACAAGCATTTCATCACGATCATCTAAAATCTGCTTTGCTTTGGTCGAATAAAGTAAAGATATAAGACATTTTTTTAAGTGAGCAATATTTAAGGTTTTTCAAAACAAAACTTTTTAGATCATAACGATTAACAAATGTATAGTGCATACCAGTACAGTATGAATGATTTGTTTCGGAAAAAATTATTTCTTCATCGATAGCATCAACTAATCTAGCTACACCCAAAGTAACAGCAGCTTGCCGTAATATCTTATGACCTCTCGATGTAGTGCTAACTGATCCGCTGTACAGAAAATCGACTATATTCCTCAAATCCATACTAAAACAAGCAAGAAGCGAAATTTGAAAAATATAATATAGAAAAGGATTTAATAATATATCAGTTAACAAAAATGAAAAACAGTAATAGCAATCGCATCTTCAAAGCTTTAGTAGCAACAATAAATTAATATTGCCTATAGTTAGATCAAAAAATAAGTATGTCTTGGTGTCAAGCTTGCCATACCTACTAACACCCGTAATTTGAGGATCGATATCAACAGTGACAATGGCACTTTTCTCGGTACATGCAAGTGCATTTTCGAAATGAGTACTGAATGCACAAAGCATCAAACGATGACACCGAAGAATCATTCTGTTCTGGAAGTAAAAAAATGTGTTACTTAAACACACTGATTGTCAAGCTCCAGAAAGTTTGGTATAGGAACAGTATTACTGAAGGGGATTTACAATTACTCGGCGCTATATAAGTAAAGTTATTTTACTGGTAACTTTTGTTTACTCCCTTGTTATCATTTCAACAAGAAAAATATCTTAATACCACTAAAATAATATTCACAAGTTACATACAAGAAAAATCTTTAATGTTCACCTGGCTACTCACGAAACAATCGATAAATTTTCCTTGAGTTTTGAAACGATAAATTGCTTGTAATAGTTCCTGCGCATGATCTGGATTTTCTAATTCTACATTCTGATAAACCCGAGCTTCTTCACTTTCTAGTAGTTTAATTAAAGAGTCACAACCAAGCGCATTTGCAACAGAAAGTGTCCTGTTTTGAGATCGATTGTTGCAACGTCCAGTATACATATATTTCACCAGTGCCCGAAGATCATCCATTTCCACACCTTAAATATAGATTTATTAGGAATAAGACGACTAATTTTTGAAAGTCATTCTATAATACATTTTGACATGTAACTTGAGATAACATTACCATAAAAAAATATGGATGACAGCGATAGTCTACCTGTAATTTTTGGATCAATGTTCAAGGTTATAACTGCAGAATCTTGCACACTAGACAAAGCTGCATCGAAATGTCTGCTATAAGCAGCTAGAATAATACGATGAGCCGATGTCGCATAATCACCTCCATTTTGAACAATAACATCCAGGAAACGGTTTGTCTGAAAAGAAAAAAAGAATTATAAATAACATAGCAACGAAACAAGCATAAATACATATCCAACAATGTGCACTATTCAACAAAAAATCAAAATGATCTAAACAAACGTTTCTAAATTGACCTTACCTACCGTCTAGCTTCTCTACAAGATTCCTGAACAAAATATTTGACAGGGAAGGGACTGAAATATTTGACAAGACTAATAATGACATTTTTGACTTTTTATGGAGTGGTAAAACTTTGTAAAACTAAACTGGTGAAAGAAAAACAAACAATGTGTAAGTGTTGCATATAGAGGAATAACGTATCGCAATGGGACTGTATTCGTAATGACGGTATTGCTTCCAAGCCATCCACTAGTCTCAACTTTTCCATTGTCCATTAATAGTGACAGTCTTTTGTCTACAATATGACGCTACATGGCTACAAATCCAAACATAATATCAACTGGTTCCTAACCATCATATTCATAAATCACTAGTTATCTAAGTAAACACATTATGTTTACAATAAATAATGAATAACCCATTAATAACCATCCGTGAAAAACACTCGAGTTAAAAGCTACGACGCTTTCAAGCTGCTACAGTTCGGAGTCCAGGAAGCGATTCAAGTCAGATCCCATCCTTTCAAATTCTTATGTCCTGAACGTAGGTTAAAAGTTTTACAAAAGTGATGCATATTTTGATCTGCTGGAAATAAAATTCTTCCATCGCTCATTCCAATCCTTAATAAAAATATAAAAAGAATGGCGGACTTAGTCTACCCACTATTTTCTCTGCACTTGATAATTATTAACTTTTCGTAATCATAATAAGTTCATCTGTGCTGTAACACATAAAATGCACAAATACTTCGCATAAGCTTTTTGTTTACTCCACTCCAGCTAATTTGTTGCATGAAAAACTATAACTAAAAAATATTAGTGCGGCATGAAAAACTATAACTAAAAAATATTAGTGCGGCACAATGCATACGATCGTGGTGATACAACAACATGCAGGACGCATAGCTAACAAACAAATAAGTACTGCAATTGGATTAGAGTTACTTCTTCTTCAGCAATTTCCCAAAATTAACATATTCTTTTAACAGTCACCACAAAATGATAAACTGTATTATACAATGTTACAAGAACTAACAATGATAAGTTAAACCGTATTTTCAAAATAGCAAGGCAACAAAAGAATATGTAAAAATGAATGATTCCCTTGAATAAGATACTGTGAGCAGCGCTCACCAACTGAAGTGGCAATCTGGAAGACTTAAAACAATATAGACCCGAACAAATTCTACAGAACATTTAGTTACCCAACAGCTACTACTTAATATCACCTGAATACTATTTTCGAAAATCTCAAATACAAAACAAATCAACAGTCAATATTACTGTAAGGACCACACAAAAAAAGATGCAAGAAACTTAAAGATGATGCATATGTCATTAAACAGCATTATTCTATGAGATTACTAAAAACTACTTGCAATAATAATTCAATTTGTGCTAGGAAAGAAAACTTGGTTGCTGCGCTGCGGGATGTAGTGAACTGAAAACAAGCGTTGGGTCTGAGAATCCTTGTGATGACAACTTTTCAGCACTTGAACTCGACCTAGATGAGCTGTTGAACTGACCAATTACCCATTCCAGTCCTTTTCGACCCTTGAAAGATAAATTATTATTCGATTGATTTTTTTTAATAGTTCCAGAGATGCTATTCAACTCCGTCGCTACCATCATTATGGTTACAAATATATGAGGTTTCCAAAATACTGTAGCATTTATCAAACCAAATGTAAAAATTGCCTAAGCAACACTGCTAGTGATATCATCAAGATATTTTTTTTCAAATTTGATCATTATTAATCCTTCCTAATTCATTCTGTGAACCAGTAATGACAAATTACACCACTCTTATCCGTGGCAAAGACTTCGGTATGAATCAGTTTTGTGTTCAGACTAGAGAAAGTTCGTAGTAAGAAGCATAAATTATAGATTTCTGCGAATATAATTCGCGAGAACAAGTCCAGATATACAAGAACTTTACAAACTCCTTATCTACAAATAGCAAGCCAATAATCTTTTTTTTTCAAAAATATGAAACTTTTTCTATTAAATCAAAAAAATGAGAGGATCTAAGATTGAAAACACCCACAATATAGATATTATCCACTGAAAAAAACCTCCAATCCTTGACAGGTATCAAGGTTTATAGACTTGCGGTGATAGCAAAAAATATGCGTGAGTTTTACAGTGAGGAAGATCACCTTTTCGGCGTTCGTTTCATATATATTCAGAAACATTTTTTCGCAGTAATCCGCGAATGCTGGTAAATCAACGTTAACAGCAGCTTCCTGTTGTAATATCGTCCTGTAATCATTTTAAGATTCAACTTTACCATTCATGTCAGCTGCCGTTGACTAATCTCGAACCAGATTAAAACGATGATGGATACTGGATGAAAAAGAAATACCTGTCTTTATTGTAAGGATCTGGTTTATATAACAATCGTTCATCAACACGTAGAAAACGTCCCGCATTCATCTGAGACTTTTCAATTAATTATTGAAAAATATGATTTTTAGATAACTGACAGCTGGAAGATGATCGGCCCATAAGCGTGCAAGGCTAATACTTCCGTCTGAACTTCTTTACTTATCCTACGATGCAATAAAGTGGAGGAAACAAAATGATGCGGAGAAAAAGTTTCAGTTTGGCAAACGCATTGGTAATAAGAGACTGATTTGCAAAGATTATTTGGAATCTGGATAAACGACTTACATTTCTTGTGATTAAAGTCATTACTTTTTTTGCTGGATTAATTTCTGTCATTTCGTAAGAATATTGAGTTCCAGAAAAACCCGTCAGCTATAGAAACAAAACAATAAATTGATAAGCATGGAATATGCAATATGAACATGGAATATGAAAATGCAACATAAAAATGATGAGAATCTGGTAATCTAACAATGGAAGGAAAGGAGAAACTTATCCAATTTCTTGTTCAAACAACAGATCGGCAAACCAGAACTAAGGAATAGGTATTTTCAACCCTGAAGAAACTATAAAAGAGGGGATGAAGAATAATTAAACGTTATTCATACCTTTGTTACCCAAGCAGGTATCGGAAAATGGCTCTGGATAATACGTTCTGATCGTAATGAACCATCAACAAGCGGATGTTGTTCAAGGACATCAATCCCGATAACAGCGCAATTCATTGGATTCGGATATTTGCGCCATGCTGCATGTGCTACAGTATCCCAAGGATGGCTAGAACAAATCAAAAACACTTCATTTCAGAAACCTTATGTTTAATAATGAGTATGACACGACAAAATGAATTAAAATACGTGTGCAATGCCAATCATGAATGGACCAAACTACAATACAACAAGTCACTAAAATAAGTAATGAAGGAAACAAGTAAATTGAAACTATTAAAACTTACTCGAAAACGTGTTCAGAAGTCCAAAACTTCATATGTCACCACTGCCAATATAATGATAGATTCACAACTACCTGGAATGAAGAAAAAAGGACATCAATCAATTTAACACCTGGCAAAAAGGTGATCATGACGAACGCCCACAATTACAACAATCAGAGATGTTATAGTTCAGCTTTACGTAACTTACTCAAAATTCCGTAATTCTCATAATATTATGGTTCTGGAACGCGACAGTGTTAGCGTGATTTTTCGTCCTATCTAAACAACGTGTTTCACATGTAGTTTAATGGAAATTCTAAACAGTCACCAAATATTCCACTACCACTCACCAACTGCAGAACTCCACAGCCGTCGCTAAATTCCACAGTGTAAGAAAATGTGCCACAGGACGGACCGCAAAATCCAGGAAACATGTCGCGCACATGTCTAAATTCACGTTTTGAGGAAGGGCAGTGCTTGGTCAACGATCCCCGTGAAAGGGATAAGTTAGCAGAGAATGTGCAAGTAAGTTTGTTGTGCAAGGATGGAAGGACCATCGGTGAATTGTAATTTCAATATAAAGATTGGACAGATATTACTTTCTATTCATAATGTATACGCCATCACCTCTTTGTTCAATGCGTATTTTTTATATGCCTGGCCATCTTAGTAACCCTCGGAAAATCTCTGCAAAATGTTTCCTGTTGATGCTTAACATAATGGATTTTTCTGTGTTTTAAAAGATGTTGAGTTTCATTCAGACAAAGAATGGAAACATCCTGTTGTCTTTAATTTAGTCACACGTGAAACATTGCAGTGATGTTAGCTATCGGCTACACTTTACACTTCTCATCGATTTCCGCACTTGGACTACGCATTTTTCAAGAACTGAAAGTGAAAAGATTAAAATCAAAATGGCAACATTTTAAAATGGTAATAGATTTACGAAATATAGCAAGCATCAATGAGTTATCGACAGCATACTGAATGATGATGATTTGTACTGCTTGGCTGCTCATTCATCCACCTATTAATCAAATCGCGGCGATACTGATATGATGAAATTAGGCATTGACTACTTTCACTAATCTCATGTAATCTAGGACTGCATTTTTGCTTCTCTTGGCCTACTCCGAAAAACTAGTGGTAGCTGATGTCTTGAGATCACAGGAGCAACATAGGGCACTTCATCGGTGCGTTATCATGATTTCATAAAGTTGAATGACCAACTCCACCACTGAATTCTCTATTCGTGTTTGAAGGCACCTCCAAAGTGCTACCTATCTCTTGCCACACATTCCTTCCCCTACAACACAATCGTCACAGAACTTCGCAGTGGTGATTTTCTCAAACAAATTGATGACAGCTCGACTAGGAAAAAGATCTGGTATTCACGACAGGATTTAGTTAGCTGAACTTAAAGAGTCTTTGAATAACGGATGACATGAATCAAAGTGACTAACTTAAACTCGAGTCTGATTAATCATACAACATCCAAGACAAAGAAATCATGGGAAAGCATCACATTTGCAGTGCATAAGGATATCAATGTTACGTGGTCTGTATGGCGTAAGATAAATATTGACACCTTTAATTTGATAAGAACTGAAGTTGCAATGTTTTTGCGTTGATTTGCCGTAACAGTCTTTATTTTGGCTAGCTAATTATGATGAAAACAAACATCGCGATATAATTACTCTCCGGATGGAGAAAAATGCTTACGTAATGGTCAATTTTCAGCAATCTGTTAATGTGGAAGGTTAAAAGTTATTTTCTCGATCACAACACACACCATGAAGTATTCGGATGTGAAAAAAATAAGTCTTGCTGTTTTTAGTTCGCAGTTATCTGGCAAGTTTCTGAAAATGACGTAACACTAGCATTCAAAAAACAATCTAACAACTGCTTAATAAATGAAACATAGTCATGCTGGTGAGCGCAGAAGCCGCCATTTGAAAGGAAGAATATAAGGCAGTTTTATATTCTTGCAACATAAACAGCGACTGGATTAGAATACATTTTCAGAACAACTGAATTAAAATCTTGCGCGTTGTGGCTAATTTCAAGAAGTTCGTACTTCCCATCCCTACCGCGCGATTCCTAACCGATAGAGGTAACCTTCATAAATATTCGAGATTCTCAAGATTTCTGTAACTTTTATAAATAGCAGTAATGCAAGGTACAGTCGTATTCCTCTCATTATAAAGAGATGAAAATATCAGCATTATATCAGCATTTATTGGCCTTATTCAGGACAATAATAGAGCTTATTTGACCGTTTTCTTTTGATTTTACATAATAACATCCCTCACTGGTCATAATTTAAATTGAGCTATTGAACTCAAAATGCGCATCACATCAGAACAAATGCAACAGAAGACTCATAAGACCATTTCTGAGGTATTCAGATCATCAAATAGCTTATCTCTTCTCTAGCACTTGTTTATGTTACTTCTGAAAAATAGTAATCAATGGTTTTGATAACACTATCAATAACTCGTGCTTTCCTGTGATTTTTTCCTTTTCTTTTACAACAAATGGATACATTGTCAAAAGATATCAGTTTCCATTTTGTAGCGAATTATCCTTTTCATACTACGACTTTAGATATCCTTACATATTCATCTTCATTGATTCCCTTCATTGATTCTATCTCTTATCACCTCTGAAGATTGAAAGAGAGCTTCCCAGTATGTTAGTGCATAAATAAACGTGAAATAAATCTCAGTACTTGGACAATATTATCGTTCTTAGTAAATAGAAATAAACCTAAATAAATAAATCACCTTATCTTTCATGAAATTTTCAACGCGAATGATATTTATCACTGTGATAAATGCAACAAATCTCATCATCTTTTTTTATTTGCGTAATCCACTATTACACCAATTGTTAATAAATTTAATATCTTCTAGAAGAAAGTTGGAGGTAAATTTCCAACACCTTTCCTTTCATTTCAACAGAAAAACTGTTTCTTATGCTTAATGATCCATTACTTCAAGTAATAAGACATTAAGGAGATACTGAAGTCGACGAAAAGGACAGTATGGATTCCTTCTGCTTGCAAGATCGTCTGTGTGAGAGAATAAAAGGTCACGGCGTTCAGGAAGAAATGCTTCCGTCAATGTCAGCCTGTTCCGCTCGTGGACTGACAGAACCTAGTTAGAAAGAAATTGCTTCACCGACACTCTGTAACATTTCAGGATCATTACAATACAAATCACAGTTCAAATTCCAACTCACAAGGAATATCATATCTCGTGTGACATTTGCAAGGAAAAACCAAATGAGAGAACACTTCATTGTGCTTAGAGCTTGTTAACGTTCTAGTCATCTTTCAGAATTAAGATAAGTTATATTTTTAAGTTTTGATGTTAAGACTTTTCCTTAACATTATTCTAAGCAGTATGATATTTTACACTAACGAAATCTGAACTCTTTCCAAGGCTAGAAATATAAGCATAAATCAGGTTCCGAATATTGCTCTTCGTCCTCTTGTACTTTTATCAGTGTTCACATCACTGACAAGATTATTGTCCTAACAACCATAATAATTCGCTAATATCAAAACTAGGAAGAAAGGCATTACAATTTCGATTGCATTCAGTGAAAGTGATTAGTACCAATATCTTCTGAAATAGTTTCAACGAATAATAATCCTCTTATTTCTATTTTAATTAATTCTAATTTCTTGACTCATTTTTCTCAGTTAATTCCAACGATTCACTTCTGATCACTCAAATAATTTAACGTCTGATCGATGCCATTCCTCCATTTCGTAACGTTTTCTTTCTTTATCTTAAGACTGTATTGCTTATCACGGCCCTACCTTTTATTACTAATACAGATTCAAATCAATGTAGAACTTTTCGTTCTGTATTTATATTATGTTATGGTGCACATCCAGGATTTATATTTCAATTGAAATTTTATAAAATTATTTACCGGTAAACTTAAAAGAAATCACGTTTTCTTCTAGCCAGTAAAGCTGACATGAAAGCTTTCGATGAGACTTTCAAGAGCAGTATATACTGAAATATTTTTATAAATATGGTATCTCGGGAACGTCCCAATTGACGGGGGTATTTCTCCACTTTTTATTGTCCGTCATTTATTAGTCATATTTGTTTTGATTCAACAGCAATCAAGATCACCGAAAAGATAATCATTAATGAAAAAAATGAAATATTCATAAGATGCCGATAAACATCTGGTAAGCGATGCATAACATTACTGCAACTGGCGGTATATTCAAGCAATCGAATTTTGAAAAACCCACAACGCTCTGTGCAGATGCGACCGAGCTACATATCTGCAATCTTTTATTTTATTCAGATAACGATATCATTATTATTTTTAGTATATAAAACCCTTATCATTTTACGTTCATTATCCAAAAAATTGGAAATAACCGGTATAGTTTTTAAGGCATGCGGCGTGAGAATGAGTAAAGAAAATCAATATTAATCGAATAAAAGAAAGCACTTAAGGCTCAGTATGGCCTAGAAAATATATATTTATTAGTGGGAGTGAATTTTGAATGAGTCCAAATTACTAATTAAATTACTACGATTAAAACACAATATGATCCATCAGTCATTCACAGAAGGATTCAAGTAAACCATTTCCATGTTTCCAACGAGAATTGTAATGTAATATGCTATTTAAGTCCTTTTAATTTCGGACATCAAAAGTTATGGTCCCAAAAATAATTTTCTTAAACTTCGAAATGTAACATATTCTACATTGGTTGCCAAGGGAACTTTGCAGTTACCTAATGATGAGAGGACATATTTCTTTATTCGGTCCTTTTTTCATTTTTTTTCGAAGGTGCTTTACTTTAAAAATATGAGATCTAGTAGAATTGGCCTTTGCTATCGATAAGTGGCAATTTTTTGATTTGAGCAATTTGAAATCTGTACCTGAAGCAAAAAAATCTGAATGGAGAAGGGAAAACTAAAGTCCAGGCCGTCAAACGAAGCTTCAAATTATCAGTCTCAGTTGAGCTTGTGGAACTTTTTATAATTTTATCGAAAATATTTAATTTTTTTTGATTTTTTATAAACTTTTTTTTAATAACTTTTTATAACTCGCTTTTAATTTCATAGAAATCTACCTCGTTCAGCTGCTGTAGATCTCGAACACTTCTTGCAGAAACTGCTTTTTCCACTAGTGCAATTGTGCAATTATCACCTGCAGGGCAACCGGGTAGTGCTAGTTGATATACTGTGGTTCCATTCTTGTAGAAAAACTATAAAATTTTGATAACTTTGGTACTGAAACAAAATTTCTATCATCTCATTTGAGAAAGGTAAACAATAATGAAAGTGTGGAATTGATGATGATGAGTTCAAAGAGGAGATGCAAGGACTCCCTGAAATAATCTCTCAACTCTACTATATTGACTACCATCAATAGTTCACTCTAGCCTCCAATTGGAGATATGGAGACACGTCAAACATAATGCTACTGCTTCCTTTGCAGAAATCAACACACGCAGAATTAACCCGGAGAAAAAAAGAAAACGTAGAAAAAATTGTGCCTCGCCAATACATCCTAGGAAGACTTTCCGCCCCCTATTGCTGTACTTTTCGGAGCCGACTATCTTCTCTCATTGACGTTCTCAACCATCAGTGCGCTTACAGTAAATACAGATATAGCCCTTCTCATATCTTCCTTCGTAAAGCCAAGCCCTGCCTTTTAACATGAACACTTGACCTTTTGGAAATAAACAAACTTAGTCCTCTCTATTTAATATATCATCATAGTCTTAGTCATATGAAAGTGTTATAAGCTATTCCTATTTTACTAGTGTTAACAACACCATTCATACAAATTTTTTCTTCATACAAACCCTAATTGTTGTATGATTATTCGCCGTCTTGTATATCTCCATTATGGCGCACGAAGCATGCGGAATAAGCAAATCATTACCAACGCCCAGAGCATACATCAGCGCCAACATCGTGCCCTCATGCTGAAACAGAAACATTTGTTATTTGGAATTATTTAAATAAACGAGGACCATTCTGACTGATTGATGATTAATTATCTGTCACTGACTGTTTATTCATAGCTAATAACTTATTCTGTAAAATAGCTGCACGAGAGGTGAAAATATTGCCCGATTGAAATGACTACAGCATAATGATCAATCGGATTCAAGAAATAAATTCAAAAAGAAGCAAAACATACACCAGAATAAAGCTTGATTTTACGTGGAGTAATCGGTAGTCCTAGTGACACATTTTTGGCTCGATCAATCCAATCTTCCATCAGCAGTCCGCCACGCAGTCGAGCCTTTTTTGGTGAATTAAATTCCGATATACGATGGATTCTCTTCAGACTATTTACTATACTTATTGTGGTCTCATTACCAAACTGAGGCCAGACCTTATATACCCATGATGGTTGTGTCATATTATGATCCACCTAAAAATGGCTTCCATGGACGTCAGTTTAATTATAGCAGCTGGCTTATGAATACATTGTGCAACCATTGAGAGAGTCTAAAAGTTATTCCCTTATACACTTATTCCAGAAGCTCAGTAAATGCTTAATATGTTTCTTCATAGTTTTAGTAATACTTCTGAAAATGTCATTGGAGGGAAAGCAGACCTCTCTTTGAATATTGTATAATGAAAGAGCCTTTTTGAAATTCATCTTCTTATAACCAGTAACATTCGTAAGAAAATCGAAAAAATCGGCATATTGTTTACTTATATTTCTGAATAATACTTCATTTTCCTTCTCACTCTCCATATTATATGTTAGACAATTGAAACTAGTCGGTTTCAACATCTGCAATTAAAATACTATTTTAACCAACAGAGTTTCAGAAGCGTTTTCTGAATTTAAATATAGTTCATTTGTCGTTGAGAGCGATCATCAGAATTAGGTATTACGAAGTAACGAATATCGATGAAACGGAACTTTTTGATGACTAACTTTTGTGAGAAGATTGAAACTAATAGTGATTATGAAGTTGTCGCGATTAAAAAGTTTTTATGTTGAAATGCCGTAACTTTCCTGTAATAGCTCGGTGGGAAGACTAAATATTTTCGGATGTATCAATTTTAGATAGAGTTGTGGTTACATATAGTAAAAGGTTATTACTTGTTTGCCAGTACCATAATAATTAGCTAGCACATCTGGATTGCACGGCCAGTAATTTTGACATTACAAATATTCCGCGAATATTTCACGCGATGTGAAAGTATTTCCATCGAGTCGAAAAAGAGGCAGTGCAAAACTTACAGCATCTGTAGTTGCCACCTGAATTGGTAGCGGTTGCCACTGTTCATTGTGTAGCCATAATTCTTGACCACTGGCTGGAAAGAAGCCACGAAGCATAACTAATCCACTGACTATAGCACGACCTGATTTCGATGATACCAAATTCACCTGAAAAAGTGAACAAATTAATTATTCTGAAAACAATTAATTATTCTGAACAAATTAATTATTCAAATTAATTATTCTGAATACAGCCCCATTGTTTCAATATTAAAATTGGAAATTAGTTTCTTCTTTGTGAAACTAATAGTTCCTATTTACTTTTTATATGCGCCATGCTGACTGTCAATCTATCCATTCATCGAAAGTAACAGTTATTTATTTTTTTCATCAGACGCACAAATGCGTTATCTTAAACTGTAACGGGAAATGAGGAGAACTTACATCTTCTCCGTTGAAGTTTGTAATGAATGAAGAGTATCTTCGTCGGAAGAATTGCCCAAGTTCATACATCTGCATCATCCCAACCTCAAATACTTTACCACATGATCTTAATTACCTTTCTTTTAAATGAGAAGAAAGTAAGATTCTCACAGTATCTTTTTAGCGAGAATCGCTTTTTTTTTTGAAACTCAGAAAGTTACATGATTCTCTCCTTCAGTTATTATTAAATGGGATTAAACTTGTCGAAAGAGAAAAAAACATTAATAACAATAAAGCTAGATAAAATTTTTGGAAGATTCTAACATTTGTTATTTGGCCCCATCCTCTTGGCCATGCTGTCTCGTTATATTCATCGTTGGGATAGGGTAAATGGTTTGGTGCTCGATCACCATGCCTCCAGATCGCTTGCACATAAACAAGTTCCTCCTCAGATTTTCCTTGTGCGTTGACTCTTTGAACCAGAATGTCACATGTCCAAAGCAAAGTGATCCCGTATATTTTCCACAGTCTGCCTTCTTCCTTTGCTCTCATTATAGAACAAAAAAAAGGAACGACACGAATACGATTCTCAACATTACAAGAATGGTCAGCAATCAATCAGTAAACATTAGTGAATACAGGGAAAGAGAAAAAAAGATGTTTGCGCACAAGATGTGTCTGCATATTTGCGCTTTCCGTTGTCATCGATACTCATTGACAGTTAGCATTATTTGCTTGTTTGTTGACTTTGGGAATCAGAAATGCAAATAAATCCATTTGAGTTAATTGTTGTTAATCAGTCTGATAATATATTTTGGTTAGTAGAATTCAAATAAAGCGAAAATAGAAAAAAGAATATGAGAAAAAGAAGATTGGAAGATATCAAAGGAGACACATAAGATCGATAAGATGAACTGCACCACATGAGGATGATAATTCTTTTAACAGTATGAATTGGTATTTCCAGTTGTCGATGTGGATTGGATCATCACGGCCGTGTGAATAATGAAAACTTCCATGATTTATGCATATCACCAATTGCCCGGAAAGAATTACTGGATCTTTAGGCTTAATTTTCAAACCCAAATACTTACTCATTCATCTCTCTGATTTGTCACTTGGCCAGTGAATCCATGTGATGATACATTGTGCGGTTTAATCACCAATGAAAAATTGCTGTAGGAGTAAATTCCGAACAATAATAATTAAGTTACAAACAAAAAAAAGAGCCCAAAAATTCCGAACTGATGAATTCTAAAAGAGATGTACTTTGTAATGCATCGGCATTTCTTAGATCATGAATAACCATTATTAGTTAATTATCAATGTCATAACTGTTTCTCTCACTCACATAGCGTATTTTTACCACAGTATTTTTTACCTGTTTTTGAACTAATACCATTTTTGCGAAGGTTTATATTTCACTCTCTTTTTTCCTGCGATCTCAATCACTTTACCTATCCGTTATTCCGAATTTGGTTCTTAGTGAGTTATGTGTGAACATCTTTTGCATTATCTCATTTCCTTTATTTCAACTGCTCCATTTCAAAGAAAAAAAAAAGATTTGAAACTGAAAAAACCAACCCATTACTTTGCCAAGTTCTTCACTGCTCTTTGCTGTCAAATTTCCCGTTCAGGACTTCATTTTGCGCAATGTCATTGTTACCATCCAGAAGACGCAAATGACTTGTCCGCCAAATAATTCTCGTTTGGCACTTATGAGAGAGACGCAACCGGTAAATTTTGGGAAGGGAGAGAAAGCAAAAACCAGTTTTTCTTTTTTTCCGAAATATGTCGCATTCGCAGTGACAGGACCGTGTATAATATAGGGCACATTACATTGGAGAGATTGCCGATCGTTCACCCTCATTTTCATGATATGTCCTTGTTGCTCTTCTTCAGCGATCGGAAATTAAGAAATTTTCAATTTCATCCCTTCATATCTATTTCAAGTCGTCGTTTCCTTTAAAATTGAATAAATACCTTTAATTCATAACGAGGGTGTGACAGGCATTGAGTAATAACAACATATGCAACCAAGCGCTAATATTTATAATTATCAGCGTGAACCATCGCTAATATTTATAATTATCAGCGTGAACCATCGAATATTCTTTATAGATATGCATCACATTACCTTAATATTTGTGTCCTTGTTTTTGTTCAGCTATTTGAATGCAAATTCGGCCGAAGTGATAAACGATCTTCAGGAAATTATTACAAAGGTACTTGAAAAATAACATTAATTTTCAATTTACATTTTAATGATTTTGCAAAAATTGCTTGAATTACATGAAGTTTTAGTCTGTCCTATTGGATGCTGCACTTCCTTGAGTTATTCAGAGGTCGAAATATTATCATGAGAAAATTTATATCAACCATAACCTCATTTTATTCTCAATGCCAAAACGCGGTTCCCAAAACTCTTTGATAAAGTGTGTTTTTATGAATGAACTTTCCTTATAAATCCATAAATCCAGGATGATGATGTCCAGAAATACCTGCATTTTCTATGGTGCCCACCCAAACTTCTCGGAATAATGTGTCCAGGTAATAATTTTACTATTTTTTCCATATATATACATATATATATGTAGGTTATAAATCTAAAAAACTGGCTTTCTTCTTAAAATAAAAACAAAAAGGCTCAAACTCAATACTTCATATTTTACATGCACTTATGCAAATGTAATGGAATTATGGCAATTTTCTTACAAATCTGAGCGGATGTCTTTCTGTTTCGTTTTTGCAATAGACTCAAGCAAATTTGTAAATTCTCGAGAATGCAATTTACAAATTTGTAAATTCTGTAAATGTAAATTGTCTTCTGTGAATTTGTAAATTATTCTGAATATCAGAATTTGTTCTGGGAGATGCTAGAATGAGATATGTCTAGTAAGTCTAATCACCCTAACTTTTTCTTCGTTTAATACCTTAAAGCATGGTACAATGCATTGTTAGTTTGCGTAACACTGATTATTAGAATTACTTAGTCAAAGTCATATTTGCAGAAGTTATGTGAATATTTTTGCAGAGAATTCATTAACCTATTATTATTATTGCTGCGGTGACCTCAGAAACAGATGCTGTTATGCAACAAGAACATGGGTTATCTCCGTTTGCCTAGTTGTGCCAGTGTTCATTTTTACACTTATCCTAATCTACTTTTTCAGAAAAATTGTTTGCTCTGAACCAAATCAGTATATTGCCGGAGTAAGACAACCGTAAAGAAAACTATGATAGTTGAGAGATATTTTTAAGTAACTTAGTAAGAAGTAACTTAGGCAGTCTTTATTTCTTCCCAGACTAAAATCGAATTTCGTCGAACAGGACATACACACACTCACGAATTCTGAGACCTGGAATTAGAATTTCTTGTTAATGGTATAATTCGTCTACTATGTGAATTTGGTATTTGTGTAATATTTCCAGTGATAAAATCGAAAAGAAAGTAAAGGGAAAATTGAAATTGAATATATCTATTCATAGTATTTACTGCGATTTTTAATTTTAGTGCAATTCGTGTAAATTGTTACCGATCTCATCGTAGTGCTTCGTTTTTGCGTTAACTTTTGCATAAATTATTCAACCTTATTACTCCTACAGTATTTAACTCGCATCACAAAATGTATGATGTCTTCAAATCTATTTAGATCTCATCAGCACACTACGGTAGCACGAAAGTTGAATCTTTAAATGTACTTAATTCTAAAACATTTTCCTTACGTTACTCCAAATTGTATCGCGTAATTTGATACTTGGTATTAGATTAATTGGATTAAAGCTGCGGTGAGTAATGGATTTATGATTACGATGAGTAATTCGTATATCTGTATTTAATGTAAATATTCTTGCATGCTAATCGAAAGAACAATGTAATTTTGCTAGCATTTTTGAAGTCTATTCAGGTAAACCTAGTAACAAGCACCAAAAGCTAATATGACTGCTGCATTAGGATCAGTTTTGAAGTTCATCTGCACTATATAGACTTTGTGGTATATTCAGTTGCGCAACACGTCATCGTCATACATTCCAAGATGAATGAATATAAAAATGTGTTTTAGTAGAAATTTAAATTTATTTGCGATTATACAATTGAAAGGATACATTTGCATATTATAATTTTGAAAACATATAAAACTGTTCAATAATTTTTACAATATACGGAGCGTATTCGTGCAAAATTTCAATTTAAATCTCATAAGCATATCATATGTGAGCAATAATTCTCTGCGAACATTTCAGAATCAAGAAAGATGTTGCTAAAAAGTAAAATAGTGTCACTTCAACAGTTAGGCCTCTTTCTCTACACATCATGAAACTTCATCCGAAGCCATTATATACTCAAAAGATTATCCTGGATGAAGAATATTCAGAGGGGGTTAGAGTATCTCAGAGAGGCATTCAATTTTTTAATTCATAAATATAAGTTCTTCGAGCTTTATGGTACACAATTTCTTGGAAAATAAGACCGAAAATTAAATAGCTCCACGGTTCAGTTGCTTAAAAATCCACAAAATTATACAAGAATACAAAGTTACGAAAGTGTTAACGAACTGAAAACTTCAATTAAGGTAATAAACCTTCGTTTGAGAAAAAAATTCCTGCTTGTATATCAGTAAATTTAATGAGTAAATACATAAGAAAGAAGTTAGTAAATAAAGTCGGTACGCGTTTGCACTTCTTGTTTCCGTCTTGGATCTAAGAACGATAAATCTGATTCCGTATAACCAATAGAGCGTTGACTGTTGGAAGTTTCGGCTGTTCGCGGCAACAATACGTTACCACCTAAACTTGCTAAGACTTCGTTTATATATTGGCCTATAATATTTTACCCATAAACTTACATTTTCGTAGATAGTAAAAGTAATTTCAATAATTTAAATGGGATATTTCTTACTAAATTATCTTAGAATCAATCACTACAAAGAGGATTGGAGTAGATCACTTTGTTTAAAAGATATAAACCAGGTATGGAGTGGAGGAAGTGGATTCACTGCGAAGGAGTGGATTTTCCATGGTCTATGAAACTACATCAAACCTGACTTCACCAAAGTACTTCCTTGAATCGGAGGCTCCAGTCGTTTTGCTTCCAATATATCATCTAATGACGAATTACCATTTGTCTGCAAGCATATTTCATGGAGGTCTACTTCTTTCTGCTAAGTTAATTACATACCTTCGCAGTGGTCTAGATATGTATAAATTGAAAGTCGATATATCAATTTGATTACTTCTGAAAGCCGAGAAAGGGTTCAGTATAACCCACATGAGATAATCCAAACTTCTATGAGCAATATTGTTCATCACTTTACTGGGAAATTTAATTTATTCAAAAAAATCGATACTACCTGAGTTGAATCGTCAACCATACTATTGTTGAGTCGGCCTATGGTCAATGTACCAGTGGGAGATACACCGCGTGAAGTGGGGGAATGCAATGGTCGTATCCGATGTTTTTTGATCGATGCTGGTGTAACGGTTTGGGATGAGCTTCGCAGTGACCCGGGGTATATTTCTGCCCTTAAGCCAGGCAAATGTGGCGGTGAGACTGGAGTCCCTACAAATGTTCTCATTATTGTCAACATTTTACTCATTCATGGAAATAATTATTGCTGTTATTTAAATCACTGCTTCATTGTACTTCGCAACGCCATCTCTATCTATATTTCCGAAATATCTGAATACTTCAGCAGAATATAATTTGTTTTATTGTATAAGGATATGACTGTTATCGACTAAAATTTATACTTATCGATTTTATACTTTGATTTACTGTGATATTTGCATAGAAAATTTACCACAATATGGAGTGCTGTAAACAGCATCTCCTGGCGTTCCATAAATTCGTTCAAGTGTAGACGTTGCAATCAGTACTTTTCTAGATCCTCCTACCGTATCTGTCTGATATATTTCATCTTCATCCTTGATGCGTCTTGCACAGCAACAACAAAACCGTGCCAAGAATAAGGTCAACAATGTTGCTAGGATTAAAAGTACAATGGTAAGAGCCAAAAACAGTCCAACAATTGGCTGAAAGGATTAAAATGGTTGTGTATTGCGCATAGTGGATCAAGCATAACTTTTGAGCAAATTTTTCAACGTCTTATAGATTGTTTTTATGACTCATTTACAAAGATAATTAAATGATTGAAACATATTTTAGCTCACTTAATTTACACTTAATTCTGTAGAAACTAGAAAATGAGGTTACGGGCAGGAACGTGCTTCATTTTTTTACCCAAACCCAAAAAAAATAAAAAAAGCAAAAAATGTTCCAGGAAGATCTTATCATGCCAATGAATGGTTCATTCTTTTTTCATGATACATACACCATCATGAAGGTCAACCTATCCTTTATTCATCATTTCACTGGTCATTTATACCCGCTTTGAACATTCGTATTAAACGTTAAAAATTGTTGGCTTCAAGGAGTGACTAACGGGTTCAATAATGAATTCGTTGAACGGGTTACCTTTTCAATTCCCCCTCTCTTCATTACTACTGGTTTTACACACTAATTCTGCGAATCGTAAGAACAAGTTTTCATTTCAATTCTGAGTTAGTATTTCCTTCTTTGTTGTTTTTTGATTGAAAACTAGCTTGAAAGCAGTAAATTCTATAATAGAATGTGAAAAACATTCTAATTTAGTAAACACAAGAGGAGTGAGAAAAAATTTTGATTTGAACGACACACATTCCACTGCTTAAAATTAAATTTTCCGCATAATAACGAACAGCTTTTGAGAGAGCACTATGGTGATATCAGCATTGCAATTAAACAGCTAAGAATATCATTTAAGAGATAAAGAAAGTATATGAATAAATTAATTATTTAATTATGGGCAATTATCAACGGTGTTCTTTCAAAGGCAGCCATTTTATGAAGTGTACAATTCTGTTAATAAAAATTGCAATGATGGTATTCCAATATGACGGAGTATTTTTTATGTCTACTTTGGGTCTAGGACTTTGAGCAGCAAATATAAAAGGTGGCAAGAGAAGAGGTTATTCATAAGTGAATAAATAGAAGAGGTTATTCATAAGTGAATAAATAGGTTAGAAAGTCTTCGAAATCACAAGGAATAAAAAATCACCGTAAAAATTCTTTTTATCATAATTATATAACTTAAATAATCATTATGTTGAAGTTGTTAAAGTAGTCATACCGTCCAGGTTTCGGTTCGTTGCGTTTCCACTTTCCGTACATTGTTATAATTGGATAACAGGTACTGCAATGCCAAAACATCATCCAGTGGCTTATCTGAAATCATGAACTGTTGCGATAAATAACATTCTTGGTCATAGCCAATAACCAATATCAAATGATAATGAAATCCTATCCAGCTTACAGTCACATTACAGTAAAATGACATGTGCAGGTATGCAGGGTCGCAAACGCTCGCAAATATTCTTGCAAAGTTTTAAGAAAGATCGTATTTTCGCTTTTGAAATTGCTTTTGATCTAGCAACTAAATGCTAGTGTTTACAGTATGAAACTGGCCGGACAAATAAACACGTTGGATAGAAGGCGACGGTAATACTATAGATGGTGCATGGTGAATGGTAGTTAAACGGTTGCAAACAAATACGATCCGGCGAAAACTTCAACTCAGTAGAAGAACAGATTATTTTTAGCTTCAAAGACTCACGCTATGATCATCGGGGAAGAATATGAGCAGGGAGCAGGCGTAAACAGAAAGTAGTTGCTGGCGGACAGATGCATCACTCCTCGCATGTAAAGAGTTGTCAATGTAGCACAGATTTTCAACATTAGATAAGCAGCTAATACCGAGATTTTGTAAAGCATGACGATCGAATTTTCTTCATAATCTATTTATATATAGTCCTTCATAGTCTACTTATATGCCTAAAGAAAACAGACGAGCCTACCCGTCAGTGATGCAAGTCAGTTTTCTTCTTTTCTTATCTCTCTCCGTCTTCTAATCATTTATCGTTTGTATCCATAAAGGATATCAGGTAAATCTTGGACATAAATATCAACGTGAACGTCAAAGCCGAAGAACCATAAATGTGGCGAACTAATCAACGATAATCCAATGCAATGGAAATCAAACGATAACAATGGAATCCAATCAGTTGATTCCAAGCCAATTCTTGCCATTTCCCGTAGCTTTAGTATTAATTTACCCAATTCGCAGCAAAATTTGGTAGCGAAATTTAAGATCCAAGCACATAGACTATTATTACTAAAACGAATCACACTGGATCCAAATCCCAGGAAAATATTCGAAAAGCTTACTTTTGATGGCCAGGCTGTGCAGTTTTACCAGATCTTCCGTATCTAGAAAAATATAAGAACCATCACCATGATATGTCACTAACTGAAAAGAACTCTTATATTATCTTTTGATCTGGAAAGAAAAATTATGGATTAGATTAGATTCATAAAGGAAATGCATGAATAATGATCCGACATAAAGTGCAATGGTTATCAGCAATCATGCAGTGATAAAATGGTGTGATAGAATTAGGTGACAAGAATATTTATATATCTAAAATTATATGCTCTAAATGTTAAGTAGGTTATTAATCAGTTAAAAGTTTGGGGGTAATTTTTTTTCCCAGAAAGTTATCTGTGCTATTGCATTATGTAGTCAAGTATCAATCGCAATGATTTCCAACAATTTAAATATCTTTATAGGTAAGCTAACTAAAGCAATATTTGGCGAAGATTGAAAATAAAATTTGAATTTCTAATTAAACGTAAAAGGAAATCTATCTGAATGCTTATTATTACTTAACAGAAAAGTGTCATGAAAAGTGTCATAGGTTATTAATCAGTTAAAAGTTTGGGGGTAATTTTTTTTCCCAGATAAGGAGCGTATGTTCAAATATTCATAAAAAACCAATTCTAAAATGACTGGCGATAGTGACCTGCTTTTTGTCCTTAATATAGATGATGAGAAGTCCATTGTTGCAGTGCACATTGCCTAGCTGTGCGTCGTAGTAAATCTTCTTGGCGGTCTCATTCAGTGGCTCATCACTATCAGCAACTTTCGTCGAATTTGTAACAAGAAGAACACCAATGTACCTAGGATATCCACTCGAAACATAAAAACACTTACAGGTGGAATTTAACTTTCATAAGTTCGTTTGCAATTTTGAATCTTCCGGACAGATTTCTTAATGAAATGAAATCACACACAAAATAGCATTCTCTTCACAGAGTGCAAAATTGTGCAAATGATTTGAGTTATGCAATTGCAGCACATGTAGTCGATATTAATATACCATGTCGATACAATTCATGAGAATTTAAGAAGTTTCCACTTAAAAACTCGTAATATAAATAATCAAACTGAAATACATATAAAGGAAAATTCTTAAAAAATAAAAAGGAAGATTTAAAATTAAAGTAACACTTTTAAAGGCATCCAAAAGAGTTCTGCCTTAACAATTTTAACCTTTTATTGCTTTAAGATTTGAAAAGTAATAACATGAAATGTGTTTTGTTCCTTGCATATAAATCAGTTAAAAGTTCTTTTTATTAACGAGGAGTAGACAAGGATTCTTTTAGGGTAACGGACGGAAATTCAGTGTTAGAATTTCTGCGAAATAAGTATAGGGGCTGAATTGCATGACTTCGTCTTTTAATATTGAAAGAAAATCTAATAAATTGTTGAAGGTAGTAAAACTGAAAAAGAAAGTGAATTGGGAGAGATTTCTGAAAGTAACTGAGATATATCAACTTTAGAGTTAATTATAATATTTAATTACCAGCTTGATTAGAATGAGATGAGAGGATATGAAAGGCTGGAAAGTTTTTAGGAATACAGGATACAATTTGAAGAAGTAGATCAGGAAAATATTATAGTATGTCGGTCAGCTAATCTGGATATTTCGGATAGTTTCTAATCACTGAAAAGGATAACTTGACGAATTCTGTTTTTCTTCTTTCCGAGAATAACATCATGATGGTTAAAAAATATGCCATGTAGAGGTTCTTGTTTCCAGTATTTCATCAAACTAGGAGATTCGGAATTTTTTTTTGCGGAGATTTTTTTTTCTTTCGGAGGTTCAGGGTTCATGTATGAGTTTTTTTCAGTTTTTTTTGAAGATATTTCTTGTCAAAAAAATTAAAATAAGCTCAAATGAAACCTGTTGTTTCCATCCACACGTTCGCATCCACTTTCACAGCTACACTTAACCTTTCGCTGAAGGTCATCAAGCAACGAGATCAACTTCTGCTGGGTGTGAAAAGCCAGCGTATTATCAACATCACATAACAATGAAGCACGACTGAAACCGTCCGCTTTACAAATCGTATAGTCGTCCAGAACAGTGGCCGCAGTAATGTTAGATTTTAACTGCAAATTCGAGTTTATAATACTTTATTAAATTTAATTTAATAAGTCTTAGGAAAGGTTGAAATTATGAAGATAAAGTTGTTTATGGAAAGAGACAAAGAAATGAAAGACAAATAAAGATTTTTTGAAATTAAAAAAAAGACTTTTTTTTTTTTTTGAGTTCGCCAATGAATACTGTTCCAGCAACAGCTCCTAATCAACCACTGATTCTTTATAATGATATTTCCAACTTCCCATCTAGGCTCATTCCAAATGTGAAAGTTGCTGTGCAATTGATTCAAGGTAATTCACAATAAGCATTAGAAAGTTGAGCTCTCATAACAAATCCATCAATCCACAGACTACACAAACAGCTCATAGTGACCGTTACAAACGGTGATATTACGAGAATAACCATATGATGCATGCAGTGATGGCCATAGGAACTGTATTCAACTATAGAAAATAAGACGGCAAAAGATAATTAAAACTTTCTAACACTAAGAATACAATAGGCCAAGACGAAATGACGCATCTGTGAGAACTGAAATTGAAAGTTGCACTCTCTGAGTAGGCTTAGCGATAACGACAAGCTTACCGGTACTGTCATTTATGATAAGCATGAAAGTGGAATGAGGAAGCTGTTGAGTAAAAAATTATGAGAACTTCTTGACCCAGAAAAAGGAGTGTTCTGATTATGATATACACGAGAACAACAGTAGCAAAATTGCCCAAATTGAGTTTGCGGATGCTATCATAAGTTATTTAATTTTATTAAAAGTCTCAAAAAAAGAAAAAAAACTAATCCAATAAAAATGAAGGTCCACTGATAAAATAAGGCCCTAAATGAAGGGATAAATCATTCGATTACGCAACAATAAAATCTGTCGTGCCTTTAAATAAATCCAAATAATCATAATTAGCTCATTCGTCGCTCATTAATATTGTCACACTCTTTAGCAGATGTGAAAGGAACATGCTTAATATGGTCTACATATTGATTTCCGAGGAAACGGTATCGTTATGACGATATCATTCTTAAGAAAACGATGGAGGGAAGAAAGGAATGAAAGTTAGTTGGAAATAAATATACAAAAACAAGCAAGAAATGCTGATCTATTGATTATGGACCGATATTTCAACTTTTGATATGTTACATCCGACCTGGGCATCAAGCCAGATGCAGTGCTCTAGCAAGTTTTTTCTATTCGCGCAGTCGCGGGAGAAGCCTGTCATCTTCCACGGCTCTTCCCTTGCCTTAATTTAAAATCTTTCAATGTTAAAGTCCATCGATCTTTTATCATTAATTCATCATTCCAACATTGAATAATGATGTAATTAGTCCTTCACATTTCGGTGAATCCATTATAATATTTCAATTATTGTTTTTTATGAAAGGATTACATATATATATATATATATATATATATATATATATATATATATATATATATATATATATATATATATATATA